GTTTAATGAATTTCAGTTTTCATTACAACTGCAAATTGAACACTTTGTGTTTAGATAAATAAACTTACAAACATGTGGTAATTAAATTTGAAGTCGTGCCTTTGATTATAAATACTTTGTTATTATTGGTGTTGATAAATATACTTGTGTCAATATTTGTTTTATATTTTATAAATCTTATGTTACAGTAAGATATATAAATTTAAGAATTATTAGGTAACATAATGTACATGATACATATGGTTTAGCTAGTGTATCATGTACTTTTATTGTGTGTTTTTGGTACAAATTGTTTATCTAATGTATCATGTACTTTTAGTGTGTATCATTGGTTTGCACAATGATGCATCTCCATTAGATAAAAAATATAAAAATATTATTGAGGTTATTGTGTACTTTACAATGACTATAAATCATGTATCATGTGAATTTATATAATTTAACTTGTGTAATGCTTTTTTTGTTATGCTTTTCTTGAAATATACAGTATATAACTTTACTTTTAAAAAATAATACCAATTCATATGAATATGCTATTCAATTTACCTATATATCATGTAAAATTTAAGGATTATAGGGTAACATATTGTACATTATACATACGGTTTAGCCAATGTATCAGTTATTTTTAGTGTGTGTTTGGTATATATGTATCATTTGGTTTTGCCCAGTGTACATCTCCATTAAATAAAAAATTTAAAAATCTAAATGTCTATGTTTAATTATAAATACTTTGACTATACTTTATTAAATGATTTAAACCTGTGTGGGGCTATAATATGTCTGATATTTATATTTTCAATATAAACATATTTGTTACGTAATGTTAAAAAAAATATTCATGGAAATTGACAAAACCAAAAAAATAACATTAAAAAGGATAAAAATAGTTGTTCAATGACATATAAAAATAATAAATATAACATTAAAACATCGTTTTATCATGAAATGCTACACTATGTGAACTAAATCTTCTTCTGGTGGTGGTGTGACTACGCCCCTGGATTTTTGTGGATCATCATTGTCGCTAACATATTCGCACTTAGCCTTCTCACTTTCATAACTCCACAGCAATGCTCCATATCTTTGACGCAGGTAATAAGGACTAAAATCAGCATATGATATATTGATTTGGTCACTGATATACTCGGCAAATGCAGTAACATATAACCCACAGTCTCTACAAAAAAATACAGAATAAATTAAAAACTTAATGATACATTAAAAAGGGCAAATGAAAAATTCTTGATACTTACAGGCTATCGCATTCCTGTGTAGGGATGTCTTGTGCAAATTCAATCATGAAAGGAACTTGAGGCTCCAGAAGTGAACCAGTATTGTTGTCTTTATATGCATGACAATCAGCAAATTTTGTGCGTTCATATTCTTCAAAAAATCCACTGTCAAGTAGGTATGAAGGAAGCATTTTAGACAACATCTTGATCTCATGAGGAATTGTTTTTTTCCTTGTGCTAATTGATGAGTCAAAAACCCTTATCAACTTGTTTTTCAACTCAACAACAGCCAACACCCAATGGAATTCTTGATCACAGTTAATTGGGATGTATACCTCATCTACAAGATGCCATGGTAAAGCAATTGGTATTCGAAACTCTTTGATGATGTTAATTATTGACCTCTCATGTACAGATACAACTGAAGCGCGATCAATATGTTCTTGTGTAGTAAGACTATCATCATCATTGTCCATGTAATATCTATCATAACAGTTTTTTACATGTGACATGAACAAACAGTAGGTTGTTGTGTATTTGTATTGATCCATGCTGCAAAGTTTTAATTTTTTACGAAGGTAGTAAAAAATCACATCGATGTGCTATAAACAAAATGAAAACATAGTAAGAAATGATATACATCTAAACAATATAAAAAATGAAATATAATTATGTGAATATAGTATGATACTTTTTCAAATTAAATAGTATGATACTTATACATAATGTATCATTACTAATTAGATAGTATCATACTTCTACAGAATGTATCATGATGTTATAATATAGTTATGACTGATACATATTTCATAAATAGTTTAATATTATTACCTCATCAGACCAACATTTGTTTGGCTGTGACATGGCATAAAACAAATTCTTGTGCATTGAAAAAGCAACCACAAATTTCATCATCGTAAATCCAAAAGAAGAAGATTTTGATCTGTATTTATCGTCCGATGGGTTCCTGCATATATGATACATAAGTTTTCAATGTATGTACATGATATATAACACTCACTTAATTACAATTTTTATATAACAACGTATCATGAATTAGTTGTATAAAAAATGATTACGCCTAACACTTGCAAAAAAAAATGTATAAAACTTACTTATTGTTATGATTTTTTAGAAGCCCCCTTAACAACCAATTCGTGTACTCCTCAATAAGTTTCGGTGAAACTTTATCTGTAATGCCACATCCTTCGAACGGGAAATGGAGTCGAGCCATATCCTTCAATTTCTCTTTTCCCTTCTCGCTTGACCCAATAGAAGTACAATATGGAGATTGAATCCTTCTCGGAGGCATTCTATTTCTATGCGCAGAAGTGACTGCATCAGTTTTAACAGCAATCTCCGTTATTGGAATATCAGTGGGTAATTGACTGTCGGTCAACAAGTACTGGCTACTAGTTATATTCTGCGGATCGTAAGAATATAATGGTCAAGCATTAGTAGGATCTTTACCCAAATCGTTGATAAGCGCATCTATTGCTGCTTGAGTTGATGGCGATATTGTTGTTGAAGTTGAAGAATCCTGTATAATATGATGTAATGCTTTTTAAAATAAATTTGTGTGTAATGAAATTGTGTGTCATACATCAAAATTGAAAAATGTACTGATGCATCCGTTGTTATTTCTTCGGGCAACACATGAGGGATGTTGTGCTGAACATTGTCATCAACGTCTTGGTCCATGATATGTTCATTTAAATCTTGGTACGACTGATGTGTGTCACCATCCTGAATATGCAGTTTTGAAATAAAAATTGTTAATATAATTTGTGCTGATACGTAGCATTGATTATAATCACATGATACATAGTATTGAGTAAATATGCATGATACATGACAGAATATAAAATGAGAAAAGAAAGTGATCATGATACAAAGCATTGACTATATGTGCATGATACACAACATACCCAATGTATCATAAACATTACCTTTGGATTATCACTGAATATTTGTTCACCCTCATTTACGGAAACACCAACACTATCCACATCGACATCCCCTGCATCGTCTACGATATGATGCTCACCATTTTTACCAGAAAAACCACCACCATCCTCAGCTACACCACCCATATCATCGAGATCAATTGGTATTTGCTGAGATGTTTGTTTGTCAGACTGAAATGTGCTTGTATTAGCCTGAAAATTGGTGTTCTCTTTGCCTATAGATTGCATCAGCTGGGAGTGATTTGCTTTTATCAAAATAATCAGTTCCTCAAATTTCTTGTCAACCTAAAAATTGTAGATACATTTAGGATAAAAAAAAGTTTGTTTAAAAATAACAAAATAATTTACTTACGTAAGTTTTCAAATGTCCTTTCAACTCTTCAATATGAGGAATTATATTGTTGACATTCTGTGAATTTGCATATCCATGAACATCAGCAGCCGGGTTCGGAGAAACGTTTGAAACAGAACCATGTACATCAGCAGCCGATTTCGATGATACTTGTGGAACAGAACCATGTACATCATTAGCATTCGAATGTTGAGGCAGACTTGACATGGAAACATGTACATCATCATCCGGTGTCGGAGACACATTTGATTGATCAGGCTGGTTCTGTTCTGACACCTTCTTTTTTTGAATAATCAATTATTTTCTTCTTTTTGGTGGTGGTGGATGTATCAGACACTCTAGAATATGTCCTCAATAACTGTTCGGGCGGTTTTGTGGAGAAATTATCTAAATCATCTTCCTCGTTTGGTTGTACTAATGGTATTGATGTAGAATAAGCATGTTCAACTTGAGCAAGATCAAAAGCTTCAATTTCCTCTGCTGTTGGGACAATGTTTGAACATGCATTCTGAATGTATCACAAACACATAAGATAATTTAACTGTTAGATACAGTAATATTTCATAATGTATCACAAAGACATAAATAACGATATTCCATATACAAAAATAAAATTTTACCTCTTGGAAAATGGTAGACATAAGCATTTAAAACTTTGCCTTTTTAGACACAACTCTCCAATTGCATATTCTTGGGATGACATTGTGTTCTCTCACAGCTATTTCAGAATTTAAATTGGATGCACATTCGTATATCCAAAAATTTAGTGCATATGGCATCACAACTTTTTACTAACGTCAAAACCCTGTGTAAGTGAACCAATTAGTTTGGAAAATGATAGCTAACCCCAAGGAAAATGTTGATATCTACCATCTTCAACCATTAGAAAGTCGACAATAGATATAGTTGTATTATCAAGAGTCGCTAATACAAATGTATGAATAAAGAACAGTATAGACATTTGGAGTGCATCCTGATTGTTCTCCCAATTACCCATCTTAAACCGTTGAACTAGTTGATGTTTTGTAACACTAGTGACTGCACCAGGGAAATACTTTTGAAAAAGCATACAATTAGTTTGTTCTGGGTATTTGAAATCATTGGTATTTCCTCTGACCTTACGTCCTGTTAATAATGCAAATTCATCTATACCAAATTTCAGGACACACTCGTTGGAATGTCTAATATGCAACACATTAGGGTTGCTTTGTTCCAATTCTAAAAGCAATAAGCACTTAGTTATTTAGCCCTGAAAATTACATTTAGAAATGTCTAAAAAGGGTCCAAAAATTGTATCCTTAAACATTTGGATAACATTCTCCCCTATGTATTTTTCAAAGTCCTTTAGGAAATTGTTGTTAAAATTGACAGCAAACCTTATGGGATGTGTTGGTATCTTTTTAATCTTGTACTTTAGTGGCTGCAATTTGAAAATAAAACAGCAAATTAAAACGATATAGAAATATAAATACTAAATAAACAACTAATAACTTACTGATATATGGTTTCAGTTTTCAGAATTTCATACTACATGAAAAACATGTGATACATGTCTACAACATGTATCAGTGAATTAAATAGAACATTATAACATGTGATACATGTCTAATACATGTATCATAAACATCGACTAAACAACATACAGACTGATTCTATATGTATCATCAAGTACAGCTGATGAAGCATTTATTAAACTTAATGAATGATACATTATAACAAATTTCAAAACATGTATCAGTACATCAACTAAACAACTAATACCTTACTGATACATGATATCATTTTTCAGGGATTCATACTACATACAAAACATGTGATACATATCTACTACATGTATCAGTGCATTGACTAAACACTATACACACAGATTTTATATGTATCATTAAGCACAGTTGATGACGCATTTAATAATCTTATTGAATGATACATTATAATAATTTTCAAAAACTTCATGATACATATAAAATATTATGATACACAACAAATTCATGTATCAATTCACCATCTAAAGCACTATACACACTTATTCAAATGTATCAGCAAGCACACTTGATTCCTTAAAATTTTTACTAACTTAAACAACATTTTTAAGTACCAAAATACTAACCCGAGACAATGTAGGCCTAACAACAATGTTTGCTGCTTCTTTTTTTCTTTTTTGTTGTATTTTGACAACCTTTTGATTTTGATATTTCGCTAGAGTCTTTGTTTGAATCCTTCTGAAGATTAATAGGATCATGCAAAGACTTTTTACTATTTTCTTTTCAATTTTCATCGTCAGAATCATATATCCTTCTATTAATTAACGGATCCATTACTATGATGTAATAGAACAATTAACAAAAATAAAAAAGAGAAGAATATATGAATTGATGATGGGTTAATAATAAAAAGATGTTGGTTTCAAACAATTACAGATTAGGAAGAAATAGACGATGATGAATTAAGAATAAAAAGAAGAAAAGAAAAAAATGTAATGGGTTAAGATAAATGAAGCTGATTAAGGAAAAAAAAGAATTGAAACTTGATGGAGTAAGAAGAAGACGGTAGGAGTTAATGGAAGTTGTCCTGCTTCCTGATATTTTTACTTTTTTAAACTTCAAATTTTTCGAATTTTGAATTCAAAATTTCAAAATTTGGTCTATTATTTAAAATTAATTAAATTTAATTCAAAATCAAAAAGCTGATTAAAAGGTTTTGAGTGTTTAAATGGATATAATTTAAAATTCAAAAACTGATTTAAGAGGTTGAGTGTTTTAATGGAGAAAAAATAGACATTAAAATGAGTAAATGTGTATTATAAGAGAGAGAATGTAATTTATCTAAAAATTTACACTAAAATAAAAAAAAAGAATTATGTAATATTTAAAAAAGTAGAGAAAATTGAAGAATATAAAAATTATAGTTGTATATTTAAGTTATTTTTTCTTTTAATATAGTACTCTACGTTTCTTTGATCTTTTTATTGTATTAATTTAAATTTATATAATGAAATATATTAAGATTAAAAAATAATAACATCAAGTAGTACTTCATATCAAAGAGAGGGGGTAAATAAAAGGTGGGGTAAAGGAGTGAGGAAAAAAAAAGAGAGATTGAAAAGACATAAAACTTAAAAATATACTTTTTTTCCATTAAAATATTTTCTTATATAACTATTACATGGCATTAACTCATATACACCATAAAATTTTTCACCGGGTGATACTGAAGAAAAGATAGCCGTTACAGATAGTGGGGTGAGATTTTCCTTTTTTCATATAGAAAGCAGCAAATAATTGCATGTGCCAGCAACACTTTTCAGTGAAAACATCATATAACCGTTGTCTAACTCTTAAAAAAATATGCCAAAAGATAACATATTTTTACCTTTACATGTTTTATATATAAAAATAACAATACTTTTTCATGTATTACTCTCTTGACATTATTTTATCATTCCCAAGAAATAAGAGTATACCCCAATTAATTATTATCATAAAAATATTCATATTAGTTGCTTTTCCAAGGGAAGTACCAAATCGGAAGTGGACAAATAAAAATTAGCAAAAAATGGAGTATTGTGTAAATTAATGAAATGCTAAAGTACAAATTTTATGACAAGTGGATTTGCGGCCCATTGAAAATAATAACAGCATTTATGTATTGAATCCCCTTCAGTGTACATAATTATTGTTTATTATTCTCTTCGTTCAATAATTATTATAATTTTATATTAAAAATATTTATTTAATAATATTTGTTTAATTTAAAAAGTGAAGAAATAATTTTGATCTATTTTATTCTTGTTGAATAGTAGTATTCTTTTTGTTCTTTATTCTATATTTTATCTATAAATAGTTAGACCATAATATTTGTTTTTTTAAAACTTATGTATGAATCATCATGTTTTGCCTATTATATCGTTGACATGATAGTTAATTAATCTTATCATTTATTAATAAAGTTGATTTAAGAAAATATTAAATAAAAATAATGTAGAATAAAATGGAATAGAGAAAATACTATTTAGTATTATCTTACACATTTTTCAAAATATTAAATTTAATAAAGTTAAAAGATACTTTCTATATCCCCTTTTATTTGTTATGTTGCTTTTTGAAAGTCAATTTGATTAACTTTAAAAGTTAAATAGATAACATTAATTTGACATTTTAAATAAAAAATTTAGATATTCAAAAATTATATGAAAAGTGGTATAATTGCAATATTTTGCATTAATATTATAAAAAATATATCTTAAAATATTAGTCAAAATTCTTAAATTTTGACTCAATAAATAGATATCGGTACAAACAATACCCGACGATGTGAGTAATATAATATTCTCTCCGTTTAAAAAAGAACGACTCTTTTCTTTTTTTGGCAACACTTTTAATTTTAATTATTCACGTGGCATATTTAAGACCACAAAATAAAATAACATTTTGATATCGCATAATTTTAATTTAGAATCACAAAATTAAAAGTTTCTTAAACTTCGTTTCAGATCAAATAAAATTATCTTTTTTTAAACGAAGAGAGTACTATTAAAATGGACAACTAGCGTTAGAAAAAGGAAACTTATTAAAATGTAACATTCTTCTAATTAAATATGTTAGGTTCTTTTCTTCTATAACGGAAGAACACAAATCTAATGGAAAAATAATTTAGAAAAATAAATAACAATCTTGAGTTCCACAATTAGACAATTTTGTGTAACTCTATTCTACCGTATATAGAAAAGAATGCAATTAATGTACGCATCTGCCACCGTAGCTTCCATTTGACCCATTTTTAAAGTGTGACGCTTGGAAACTTGCAAGATCCGTAACCTGCAAAAATACAAGAACCCATATTATTATTAAATATAATAACAGCCATAAATTATTAAATGACTATATATCAATCTATAAATAACAATTCAAGCCTCGAGTTAGATATTTGAAAATTCATTAAATAACTTACTTGGATCTTTTTTCGTAGGAATGGTAAGCCCATTGAAATAACAAGTTCCACCAGAAGACTTAAATTGAGACCAATAGGAACTGAATGCATAATTAGCATGCGACACCAAAGAATTCGGATTGTAACATTTGCCTCCGGGTTGGATCTCATCACAAGTCCGATTACCCTGCCCACAAGCATACGACATTGCTCCACCCAACTCCGATGCATTTGCACTTCTACTAACAACACACCAAATTTTCCCTGTGTACGGTTCATTGTTCCTTGCTCTCGGCAACGCTTTATATTCAGATTCAGGCGTCTTACCAGACAAGTCTATCCCGTATATGTTTGTTCCATTAGGATACAATAACCCGAAATGCCTCTCTGTACCTGGACCCGGTTTTTGATTCTCATTATACAATGCAAATAATAATGTCGGCACAACAACTCCAGGTTTAGCTGGGGTTCCAATAGGTGGCTTAACTGTAAACTTCTTTATCACATTACGATTGTACGTTGCTGCATTGTAGATGTTCGCTCCAATTTGATCCACCCCACCGGCATTAGGCCAACCCGTTTCTGCAATAAATAACCGAACATCCGGGTACCCGACTCTTTTCATAGCGTAATACACTGCATCAATCATCTGATCCAGTAAATTTGTATAAACCAAACCCGTACCCGGATCCGAAACAGTAATGTTCTTGGAATTTAACAAGGCGTAATCAAGATTAATCACTGTAGGTTGAGAAGCCCAAGCAAAATAAGGATAAACATCAATGAAAAAAAAAGATTTAGTTCGATTCAGAAAATGCAACAATGGTTTCATAACTTTTTCGGAAATGTCCGATCTAAATGTACCATTTGAAGGTGGAAAAGACGATTCAAGCATATCGATAGCTAATGGAGTACCGACTTTAATTTTTCCTAAACCAAATTTCTTGACGGAGAATCTAATTTTGCGAATAGTAGGCACAAGGTTGAACCAAGTGGTATTGGGTGGGCTACTAAGGATTTCATTTCCAACAAGGAGGTAACGGATCATTGTGTGTGGATAAAAAGGTACAATATTATTTTTTACCCATTGGTCAGCTAAGGTTTGATTAGTAGAGATATTGTTGATGAGTTCATTTGGTACCATGACTGAAACTTGAAGGTTGGTGCCTTTAAGAGCATCAAGGATTTGTGGATTTGTATCATAGATCTTGACTCTTTTGGCTTTGAGACCTTTGATTAAGTCAACTGAATTTTTTGGAATTGGGAGATTGTTTCCAAGTTGTCCGTAGCATATTCCTAGTTGAGATGAGATTTCTGCACCTGAAATTTACAACAAGTACGACAGATTCAGCTTTGTAGAGAATAATTAACTAAAAGAAATAAGTGGTTAAATTCAACTTACTGGAAAATGAAGAAGAAGCAAGAGTAAATAGCAGAAGCAGAGTAGATAAACAACCCATCTTTGATCTTTGTAAAGGAGTGAGGATGTCTTTAGGTACAAAATGTGTTCATATATAGGGGTAAGTGCAGGACTGAAACGGAGAAGTAAAATCCAAGTGAACTACCGACATGGGTTGTAGTGACAAAGGGCAGTGTTTTGTGTTAAATGGTCGGGTTGAGTTGAAATGAAATAAGTTGAATAAAAAATTAGGTTGGATTTAGATTCGTCAAAATTTACTTTGGCTCAAATGAATTAAAAATTGGTTAGGCTTTGATCCGTTCAATTTGATTCGATTAATCTCAATAATTTTAATAAAGTTATATTTAACTTTTATAATCAAAATATGAATTTCAGTTTAAAATTGTTTTTTTTTTAAAAAAAGTGATAAATTGATTAAATTCTAAAATACATTAAATAGATAATTATTCATACATTTAATATAAGAAGATAACTTAGTAAATAATTTTAAAACAGGATTAAATTGAAGATTGAATTGTACTTAATTAAAAAAATTTCTAATATGCGTTAGGCTTAAATTGATTGAGATTGAACCCAATTCAAATTATCTTGAACATAACCCTTAAGATTTTGGACAGGTTACCTCTGTTTGGATTCATTTTTAACACTCCTAGTTTCATTTTAACTAGAAGTTTTGGATTCAAGTCTTGGACATGAAATTTTTTTTATTGAAAGTGTCACTTTCAAGAGGGTCGTGCATTCTGCAATTTAAATTTAATTGAATCTCTAATGTGAACTTCAAACACCGAATAAAAAAATGAGAAACTTAAATTTTCTTTTTCGAGTTGCTATAAATTAATCTCTCTTCATTTATTTCTATTATTTTTTAATTAAATATGTAAATAAAAATAAATAAATAAATAGAAACAAGTATGCTTTCTTCGGAGGTGGGTGACCACTTCGTATTTACCTTTAGATAATGAAGAAAAGATGAAAAGGGAGATTCTATAAAAGGAGGAGAATCAATTCCTTTGTAAGATGCTATGAGAGAAATACAAAAGTAGGAGTTTGGTTGTATTGTATTTACAAAATTTAATATATTTTTTAATAATAGTACTACTATTTAATATTTCATTCGGAAGGTTTTTGAACCTAACATGTTATATACATGTCCAATATTATAGGATAACTATAACAAATTTATATAGCATTACTCTCAATAAATCAAATCAGAAAGTGAATAAAATATAGTCTCAACATAATTAATTTGAGTATTGTTATAACTTTATTTAGTACTTCCTTTATTTTATAGCAGTATGTTTTTTATTTTATATCAATTAAATTTTTGAGGATTTTTTATTGTTCAAAACAAATGAATATTCAAATTTCTTAATGGATTTTTGCAAATTTTTTCATATTTGTTCTTTTTTTTGTTGAAGTTCAATTTTTTTTCTAGCAAATGAATCACACTATTGACAAAATTATATTTATCATTTCAAAAAAAAAAAAAATGAAAAATATAATTTATAGTAGCCCTTGAATATTTTACTTAATATATGTGGATTCACAAATTCACTTAATATAAAATAAGGGGGAGTATTATTTTTATATATTCTATCAAATGACCCCTAAAATTGATACTTATTTTCTAAAATAAAATCGAAGATGAAAATAAATAAAGTCATGTCTAATCATTTATTTTATAAATAAAATTAAATTAAAATAAATAAATTTTAATGATTAGATATTAACTTGTCAAATCTTTTCTAATTGGGGAAAAAATATATATTTGTGAACTATCGTAAATAATATGCAGAAATCTTTCGTCCAAAAATTAGAGCATATATATCCTTTATACGAAAGGTTATAAACGTGTCACAATCTTATCCACTGACCGACATTTATTAAATATTCTCGACAGATAAGATTATGTCACGTGTTCCTATTTAGTCTTTCGTTAGAGTGAATGACATATATGCTCTAGTTTTTTGATATTAGGAGCATTACTATCCAAAAACATGAAGGAGGGTATTTGCATACCAATTAATTCGGGGGTGTATATGTCATTTTTCCCTTTCTAATTTGATTTTTATTTCTTATCATTTTTGACAAATCAACAAACGACAATTTTCTTTTTTCTATTATATCCTTAATTTATTACTAATATTGAGCTAATATCTTTGAAAAATATAGTGAGTAAAAATATTTAGGACCCAATCAATTAATAGGATTAAAATAATAAACTTAGAGGTCGTTTGGTAGTAGGATAGAGGTATACATGTTGGGTTTAAGCAAATGTGAATGAGAAAAAAAAAAGAGAATATGAAAAGTGAGGAAACTACTTTGGAGGGAAAATGAAAAGTCATTTGCAAAGTGCAAATGAAAAGTCATTTCTCCTATATCGGCAACAGAAATGGAAATTGTTGTCCTTATAGAAGGAAACACTTCCATTACTTCTTAAAAGAGCTAAGAAGAAGATGCCCCCTCGCGCCGCCGTCGTTGCTCGCTCGGCTCGGCTTTGGATTTGGCTTTGAATTTGGCAAATGATCTAATTGATTGATAAATTTATTTAATCAGTTTTTGTTAAATCAAATAAATCCTGTTAATATTATCTCTTATAAATTTGCGGGTGTGATTGATTGATAAATTTATTTAATCAGTTTTTGTTAAATCAAATAAATCCTATTAATATTATCTCTTATAAATTTGCGGGTAACGGTAACATTCTGAAAAGTCGTTACTTTTCCGAAAAGTCGTTACTTTCCAAAAAGTAGTTATTTTCCCTACAGACACATTTTTTCGAAAAGTTATTATTTTTTTTCAAAAGACACAACTTTCTGTATAAAATGGGTCTGAACAGATTTCACTAAACAGACATGTTCCTTGCTGAAAATGCTATAGAAGGAAGTCAATTTTTTATTTTTCAAACACTGGAAATTTTTCTTTCTCTGCATTTATTTTTCTCTCAAGTAAAATCAAAGTGTCGATCGACTGAGTCTGTGTGACTTGTTGTTGTTCTTAAGTTCGTTGAAGTTAAAGAAGTTTGAGGTACCGCTATTTCTTTAACAGGTTTAATCCGTTTTATCTTGGGAGAAATTAATCCATAACATTGGGTACAGTGAGGGGATTAAATTTCTTAAGGACACACAGTAGTTTCTGTGGACTCGGATTAATTCTTGTATTTTATATTTTTTCTGCTTCATCTTATTTCTGTTTCTGCTTATTAACCATATAAATACACGTTATTGTAAGAATAACAATCTTAAAAAATTTAACAGTTTCTATATTTGAGGTTTCTGGAGATTAAAATCTTT